GGAAAGAGCCACTACAGTCAATAAATTCTGCATTATATTATGAAACAGTCACTTCTAAAATTTTTTAAGATATCTTTTGCAGATGCACACAAAATGTAAATGTATTTCTGATAGAAAAAAAATGTGGCTTGAGTCAAATGAGATCAAGATGACGAATCTTTTTAACATTTGTGGAGATACCAGCTACCAACCTGAAAGCAGTGGTAGCTGGCAGTGCTAGGACCGAGCAATGAGAAGGCTCTGCAGGGCCAGCTAACATTGCTCCCACTACAGCAGCCTGCATCAAGGGGCTCATCAGTCACCTTGCACCATTCTGCTGGAACCAGTACAGCCAGAACACCCAGTCCCTTTTTGCCTGCCAAGGGCCTGATACAGCAGCCTAAATACAACCACCACCTCTGGCTGAGTCCTTAATGGAGCTTAAGGCAAATTCTGAATACTCCACAAGTGATCTCTGTTCTGTGCAGAACAGCTTTGGTTCTTATTTGCATAGCAGTAGTTGATGGAGCACATTAATCGACAGAAGCAGCAGCCTCAAGGAATTTAATATCTGCTGTTATAAAGACAAATAAAAAATCCTGTAGGCCAGGTGGGTCCACAAGATAAAAGGCAGAGCCTGACTATGAAGTATTCAATGTCAGAACATGCTGCAGACCAGGAGGCTGTTTGAAATGTGGTTGCATCAAGGTTAGAACTCAAGAATTAAGATCAAGGCTTCAACCCCAACTTGCAAGTCTTATTTAGCCACAGCAGGGCTCCCTGCTTTACTCACTTGCAGATGCCATCTGTGCAGCAGCATTAGGCAGGGTGAACTGAGGACAGTTGCGTGCAAATTTTCAGCAGTAACTGTCCACAAGCAGAGGGCCAAGGAAAACGCTCACAAATTAAAAGCTGTCACCAAACACTGTCATGACAATCTCATCCCCTCATTGCTGGAAGCCCTTTAGGAGGTCACTCCTGAGGGTGGAGAATGATACTCACTATCCTGTATAGCTGAAGTATCCAATATCCGAGGTTGCAGAAGAGGAGGAGAAAGCTGTCTAAAAAGATGCTGGCAATGCTGAAGTAGTGAAGAAAGAATTTCTAGCACTCAGCCTTGGCTGCAGAGTTAATTTTAACTTATTAAAAATAGCAGCATATGATAGGAACTTAACTAAAAAATTTACAGCTAGAGTATTCACACCAGTTTCACTGCAGCCCCTTTCCACTCCACTCCTGCAGCGTGGTGTCAGCGTACTGTGATGTTCTTATAACTGCTCTGAGCACCCCTCTTTCACAACCACCAACCTCAGCAGCACCTTCTCAGTGATTTATGGCCCTGTGTGTATGTTCAAGATGTAGAGTGTGTGGTTTTTGTCACGTAAAGAAAAACAGGATTTTACTCAACACTCTCTTCTCAAATTGTGCAAGGAAGAAGACAGAAGAGCACACTGCTGGTCTTTTTGCCCGTGTTGCCTACATCTTCCATGCAATGCTGTTCACAAATACTTCAAAGTTCATTGGCTTCTGCTTCACGTAATGGCCACATAGTACCAAGTTACAGCAGATAGAAGGTCAAATTTTATCAACCCAAATACTTAGAAGCTCACCTGCACTGGGTTGGCTGTTGAGTGCAAGTCATCCCTCTCCCCTCAAAAGCTGCAAAGTTTCAGATTAGATATATATATATATAAAATTTATTACTAAACAGTGTGAGGAAGACAATAAAATACAAAATCCTGAGTTGTCATGGCCTGTAATTTGCTGTGCCTTTTTCTGCCCATTGTGATGGCAAGTTTAAACTCTGTGTAGGACAGCCCCTGTGCCAAGCCTGATCAGTAGTGATGGCAGCAGCAGGAACACATATACACTAGGAACACTCCTCTTCTGACTGTGCTCCAACACACACTCCACATCAGGCTAAATAGCCTGAGTTTTGACTGAAATAAAGCAAACTTACAGAAATGTTCAGGTGCTGCCATGAGGCAAGAAAGATACAAAAGAATCACAGAATCATTAAGGTTGGAAAAGATCTTCAAGATCATCAAGTCCAACTGTCAGCTCTACACTCCGTAACCACTGAACCTTCACCCAAAACACCACATCCACCTGTTTTTTGAACACCTCCAGGGACAGTGCCTTCACCACCTCCCTGGGCAGCCTCTTCCAATGCCTCACCACGCTTTCTGTTAAGAAATTTTTCCTAATACCCAATCCAAGCCTCCACTAGCACAACTTGACCCCCTTTCCTCTTGTCCTATCATGGGTCATTAGGGAGAAGAGGCCAACACCCACCTCACTACAACCTCCTTTCAGGTAGTTGTAAAGAGCAATAAGGTCTTCCCTCAGCCTTCTCTTCTCCAGTCTGAACAGCCCCAGTCCCTCAGCCTCTCCACATAAAACCTGTTCTCCAGACCCCTAATCAGCCTAGTTGCCCTTCTCTGCACCCTCTCCAGCACCTCAATGTCCTTCCTACACTGCAGTGCCCAAAACTGCACACAGTGCTTGAGGTGGGGCCTCACCAAGGCTGAGTAAGGAGGCAGGATCACCTCCCTGGTCCTGC